AATATGTTAGTCATTGAGGCTATATTCCCCAATTCTAATATCATCTCATCAACATTTGACAACTAAATACTCATAAGTCATCATAGATGGTTTTCACATACACATTTCCGTTCTTGAGCCATCATAGAAGTCATCCACACATGTCATATAATCTCGCTTATGAACATATATGACAATCATATCATCTCGCTACTAAGGTCATATCTTAGCCATTAAGGCTATATTTGCCAATAAGACATAATTCGCTGNACATATATGACAATCATATCATCTCGCTACTAAGGTCATATCTTAGCCATTAAGGCTATATTTGCCAATAAGACATAATTCGCTGCTAAGGCATAATAATGTCACTAAGACCACATAATCGTCATTAAGACTTTATTTCTGCCAAAAAGGCATAATAATCCCACTNTGTCACTAAGACCACATAATCGTCATTAAGACTTTATTTCTGCCAAAAAGGCATAATAATCCCACTAATGCCACACAATTGCCATTAAGGCATAATAATACCACACAACCGCTACTAAGGTATAATAATGCCACTAAGGCCACACAATTGCCCTTTTAGGACTATACTAACCAATAAGTTCTTTACATGCCAAAAATGTTTTTTGCCTTCACATAATCATTATCAATCAATAACTCATTTACTCATTCAATATCAATAATTTGATATTCATTACTTTTAAGGACTAAATTCACTACTTTTAAGGACACATTATTTTAGATCAATATTCATCATGCACATAAACCAATAACAAATAAACATATTTTAGCCATTATCAATCACATGAAAAAACACACTCACATAAATCATCACATTAACCACAAAAAAAGTTGGATCCATTCCATAATTAACAACAATCTACCACACAAACTATAATCTCACACACAATTACCAAACCATATTTTTTAAAATCAAATTTCAATTCAAACATATAGCACAACATATCACTTTCAATTTCTCTAACTTATTCCTCTTCTTGAACCCCTAGGTGAAACTGACACTAATATTGTCATCTTTGCACCTAGCACATATTTTCTCAAATCTCCTATAAAAA